ATTTACTAAATCATGTTTTTTATGTTGTTTGTATTTTAAGTTTTTTGTTTTTTGAGCCCCTCTCTCTTTTAGAATTGCTGACATTTTTACTTATTGAATTGTTCTCTGCGCGACCATTTCCAGATTACTCCAGAACAAATTGAAGAGAGGTGAATGCAGACATACTGGGCAGCGATCACCTGATAGATACGTGCGCATATCGTTCAAAAGTCGAATATAGAATAAATGCATTTGATTGGTAAACCAAATTCAGACTTTACGTTTCAATTTCCAAATGGTAATGCATGGAATTTACGGAAAAGCTCAACTAAATAACAGCGCTAATAAGTGGGGGGCGTGGTGGCTTTGGCGATCGGCGCTCCAGTCAATCTACTCCACAGCCAATCACGGGCCCCCTCCTTGCTCGGGCGCCGGGGCTTCAGCCCCGCCTAGCCCTATGGTTAAAACAGCCCTGCTTAAGGGGTAAAAGTAGCTCATAAAATCTTAAAAATAATGGGCGTGCCGGTCCTAAATTTTTGCTCTAGGAGTATTTCACAAAGCGTTTTAGCGTTAGAGCTCCTAAAACTGCAAAACTTTAGGAGTAATGCAGAGGATTCCTAAGTCACTAAGACCAAATCACAAACTATCCTAAAATGGCTTTTTCCAGAAATCTGCCTCGGAAAGTAAACATTTTAGAAACATTTGACGATAATGAGCTTTTAAAAAGGTATTGTCTTAATCACGAGGGTATTATGACTGTTGTAGAACTTGTCAGGGATGCAGTCACTTCACCAACAAACAACCCAGTAACGCCACAGATCAAGGTTTTGACAACTCTACGATACCTGGCCACAGGGAAAATGCAGGTATGCAGTGCAGACGAACTAGATATATCTCAGCCATGATTATTCCACTCTGTTAATTAAAAGGCTGTTTATATGCATGCATATCCGCTAATTGTTTACGAGAAGCACACATGTAAGAGGCTGACAATTAACTGAACATATACTTGTTTTTCATACCTTTATTTGAATATGGCAACATGGTATCGCGCTCTACATTATTTCTATGAATAAATCTCTTGACAGAGACAACTCCCCTATCAGCCAATTAGTGAGCATGCTGACATCATCCATAGCAACGAGGTCACCCCGCCCTTACTCTTAGCTTAAGACTTCTCTCGATTCCTTAGTAAATGTTTGTTTCAGCAGCTGTGTGAATAGATTTTAAGAGAAAACTCTTAGCTTTTACTGCTAATTAGGAGAATTCTTAGTGGTAAGATCAAATGTTTTGTGAATACGGTCTATAGCATGGAGTTCCTAATTGTTTTTCATTTAATTATCAACAAATTATCAAGTCTCAGATAATATCATATTATCATATTAATCATATTGAATGTATTTAGAATAATATATTAAATTTGAACAATCTCGGAAGTCATATTGGAAGTTTGCTGAGACCTCTTAAAGTGGGATCCAGGGCCCTGATTGAAAATCACTGACCTACATATAGGAATCTACTAGAACAGAGAAAACATACCATCATGCCTTCCATACCAGCATAAAGCAAATACAAACAAATAAATAAATAAAATGATTAAATAAAACTGCAAGACCACTCTGTTTATAACACAAACTTTTGCTACTTCCACTGTGTACCTGGAGTTTTATAACTTTACTACCATAATCATTACAGGTATAAAAAGTTTGCTTTATCAGTTAACCAATAAAGGCATTGTATTGGCCAGACCCATCAAACAGGTCATTCAGGAAATGATGTGCCAAGTGGATTTTTATGAGTGTATTTTCCAATGTAGTATACGCTGCGGGTCAATGCTAAGCTGAAGTTGCTTGACACTTCATCTATGGTGCTATGATTTTTTATAAACACTATTGACTTGGCCTTTATTGATTGGTGTGAATGTATCACACAAATCATTTTGCACCAAATCAATAAAGAAATCTTGCGGAAAATTTATATTAAAAGACCTTTGTTTGCCTAAGTGAGTTTCAGACAGGCAAAACTGAATGCTTTGCCGATTAATTGAATTAGTTTAAATTTGGGCATGGCAAGCCTATAAAACAACACATTCTTAAATCATGCTCTGCCATGTATGATTGAAATGAGATTTTCAACAAAATAAGACGCTGTTAAATAAATCATATATGCATTTTACACAGTCAAAGAAAAGGATCATAACTCTTATGAAGCAATCTTTCAATCTTTATGTTCAACACTTACTGATGGGTATTCACCTGCAGTGGTGCCAAATGCTTCTTGCTTTTAAGAACATTTGTGGCTTCATACGAATTTACACAAACATTACAAAATGGATCTGTACAGACAGTACTGGGGAAATTAAATCATCTTTAAGTACTACAATTGCAGATTTGGCTAAAATGTGTCATATTCAAGAAATATGACACTTTGTGCATCATGGTTTAATTTGCAGAGCCCAAAAAAATGTGCTATGACCAAAACATTGATCTGTTTAAACATACCAACCAGCACGACACAACAACTCAGGTGATTTTGAGGCGGGACTATATTGTCCATCCAATAGTCATCATTTTTTGTTAATTCTGTTCAGTGTAGTGGTTCCCAAACACAATTTTAGGTAAGATATTTCTGTATTAATGCTATAATCATGACAACGCTGATTTTTAATAAACAGAAACTGGGGTACAAACAGAAACAATAGTTACTTAGAGAGGGAAATTATTTATTATTAAGTTAATACTTTTTAAATCTTTTTATTTTATAAATATATCTAATATTAACTGTATTAATAATATTCAAGACATCCTGCAGCTCCCTTGGAAATTTGCTGAGGTCCCCTAGATGCAACACTGGTTTAGTGCCACTGCCTGTGCAGAAATCACACACTTTACACAACTTTAAGGAAATCTGAAAATTGTAGCACAAAAAGAATTTTGGCAACAAAATTTTTATTTTACATCACAGTGTTATCACTATTTAATATGGCACACAATCTTAAAAACACTTAGTCAAAACTCTAATCTAGCAATTGTTAAAAATGTCTTTGTAAAATTGTTAAAAATGAACCGAAGGACTGCTGAAGGAGGGTACTTTTATTTTTTTATAACTATCAGTTGATCATTGCTGTTTAATTATGTCAGGTGGATTTTGGAGTAGATAACATGCTGTTATCTCCCAGTGAGAGGGCTAGAAAGGATATCAGAAAGATAAGTCCTATTCCAGCACACACGGCTGCTGTTCAAATATTGTAATGTTCTTTTGTCTTTCAAAATATGTAATCTTCTGCCAAACTGATGCAGAAGAACAGTCAAAGAAAGCATGAAAAATGTTTTTGATAACTGTCTATGTGGCATATTTCTGTGTGTCTATAACCACAGGTGCACTTACTCTTCAAACAGATAAAGCCAGTGATGAAATAAGGGGGGGGGTCTAATCTAGCAATTGTTAAAAATGTCTTTGTAAAATTGTTAAAAATGAACCGAAGGACTGCTGAAGGAGGGTACTTTTATTTTTTTATAACTATCAGTTGATCATTGCTGTTTAATTATGTCAGGTGGATTTTGGAGTAGATAACATGCTGTTATCTCCCAGTGAGAGGGCTAGAAAGGATATCAGAAAGATAAGTCCTATTCCAGCACACACAGCTGCTGTTCAAATATAATGTTCCTTTATATTTTAAAATATTTAATCTTCTGCCAAACTGATGCAGAATAACAGTCAAAGAAAGCATGAAGAATATTTTGAGAACTGTCTATGTGGCATATATTTGCATGTCTATAACTACAGGTGCATTTACTCTTTAAACACATAAAGCAAATGATGAAATAAGAGGTGGGGGTAGAGGAGAGTCTCATGGCAATAATAATAGCCCAAAGGGATTAAAAGATCACATGAGTCAAGAGGTGTGTTAAACACGATAAAATGCAGAAATGATTAGGCTAGATATACCTCCTGCAGCACTCCACACATAATTGAGGGCATGTGCTCTAGCTATAATATAATATTCAGGACAGGGTCATTCCTGTTCTGCAGTGCCTTTTGAACTCCATAGATTTACACAAATATGCAATTTAAGGAAATATTTGTATAAAAGATACATAACAGAAATATACTTCAAGTTTATCTATTCGTATTAAGTTTATCGTATTAAGTTTATCTAGCTCAGTAAGGGATTGACAGCTAGCTGAAATTAATTTAGATTTACAAAAAAATATATTATCATACTGATTTCTGTAATCGTCAAGTTGGAATGTTTTGAAGTGACACTATCAGCTAACAACACAAAACATCACGGAATTCATCTAAGAATAAGGCTAAGAATACTTTGTATTCGCTAAAACATTTCTTTTTCTTAAGACAAACCATTTGTTCTAAAAGACAAAGAAAGAATTCAAAATCAATATCAAAGAATAAAAATCAATGTAAATAACATCTTAAAATTATAATAACCTGCAACTTGTTTTAAATCCGCAAAGGTAAGATGTTTATTGAATTCACTGTGTTGTTTTAAATAATAAGCATCATTTCATTATTATGATTATTATGGTAATCTGCAGGCTGCACAAAAAGAGGAACTTTGAGGTGTCTTTTGTGATCAGCGAGACTTCTGCAAGACCCACAAACACAAACAACACAGCCACTTTCTTCTTAAGAAAATATTTGAGAGGAATTTGCACTTAAGAACATTCTTAAAAACTTGTCATGATCTTAAGAACCATCCATTTAAACCAAAGTGATTTCCATTACTCAAAACCAAAATGATTTCAAAATCACTCCATGTTCACTTAACTGTAATAAACTATTACAATGCTTCCTCCTCCTAAAAAGTTTAGCTTTACGATATTTTAATAAAATATTAAATTTAAAAAATAATAAACATTTTTCTTGTCATGAAATATACTAAATAATAGTAATGACCCACATACAACAACAGATACACTAAGAGCTACATTTAGAGCATTTTATAAAATGACACCATTATAAAACTGGAACAGACATTAACAAACATTTCTATGGCTTACCTTCAAAATTTTGCAGTCAAGTGTTACATCAACAGCCTGTCATTACAAATCTGTCAGAATCTGCCCATTCTGAAAAGAAACAATGTTTGTTCATTATACAATAACTTTCAAAAATAATCAAATCACAATCCCTTTCAAATTCAACACTAAAAAAAAACACATAGAAAACGAATACATCTTAAAACGAGATTTAAAGATTAGGATGGATTAAGTGTGCAAGTTTAAAGCAGCCAAAGGAAATCTCAAATGACAAACATTTTCACTACATCCTGAGGGAGTAAATGGCAACAGAAGTACACATGAGCTATTGGAATGGGAAATCGGATGCTCCATTAGCAGCGGATTTATTCAATCAGCTAGCTCACCTCTTAATTAAAGGAACTAATTATGCTATTGAAAGACTTCTTGGCTGGTGGTTCCCAAAAGTGGGCTGGCTGGCACACCATCCCCCTCTTACCTCGCTGAAGGTGATGACCTTGTGATAACCCTTGTGTTCATCAGTCAAATTACTGTCCCCAGTAATGGTAGTGCCAAAGCACTGGAACACTGAGGCCAACTAATCTGTATTCAAATTACATGCCACCAAACAGTAAGGTGGGCGTGCAGCCATAACTCAGCTGCTGTGCATGCATGGGGAGGGAGCTCAACAATGGCCACAGCCCCCTCCCTGCCAATCAGACATTATCATACATTTCCCAGGTGTGCGACAGGCCTTCTGGGGAGCAAATGATATTGGGAAAATTCATCATCGGTCTCCCTCGCAGCCGTAATGGTCAATTTAAATTAATTACAAGTCAAGGGATGCATGGGACAGGTCAGTCTGTGCATCACTCCTGCACTGAGGTAAAGCCAGCTAAAGTAGTTGTTGTGTTGTCACATGTTTAGAATATGTTTCTAATTTGTATTTAGACTGGTGCTTGCAAACATTGTTTATGGTGTAATATTGTTTAAGGGCCTGTGTTTGGGTTCAATTAAGCTAATGATTGTAAACCTAATGACTTTATCGTAATGCTTATCAGTTAATGCACATTTAAATAGTTGATACGTCAAACTTTAATAAACGGTAATATATTTTATATATATTAATTATCTGTTCTACTATTACTCGATGACTAGTCAGCATGAAAGTAAAATTAAAGTCTTTTCTGAGACTGGACGCTCATCAGAAAATGTTTCGTTTGCTAAATTTACTGCCACATTTCATCTACATGAGGCTCAAACAAACGATGAGGAACCAATCTAAAACCACCCCATTAACTAAAATAGTGATTATAGTCGTAAGTAAATGAGCACACACAGCGTGAACTTACATGCGGTACGAATGTCGGTATTTCTTATCCCATTTCTCGATTATTCATATCCTTTTTTCATTAAGGAACACCAAATACAAATACAAACACTTTAAAGAGTGAACAAGAGGACGGGTGTATTATACCAGCGGTTCTCAATTCCAGTCCTCGCGTACCCCCGCTCTGCATGTTTTGCATGTCTCTCTTTGTTAACACACCTGATTCAGATCATCATCTCGTTAGAAGTGAGCTCCGTGCATGAACTGTGTTCCGATTGACATGGTCCCTACACAGTGTCCATTGCTCCCTATTCCCTGAGCAGGGGAAATCCGTTGAAGTTTACTTCACTTCGGAATATTCATTTACAGATTTGCGCTGCGCCGCTGCCTACGGCGTCTTCACACACGTACGAAACTTATTAGAGAAGCGTGAAGTGGGACATAATATACCTCTGTAAATAAATACAATTTAAATTCACGTCTCGCACACTTAAATGCCCTTTGTATGGAACATATACGCTCCCTTCAAACTGGAATCATGGCGGAATATGCGGTAATGTCCGCCTCGCAGGGCACTTGCAGTCAAATATAACAAACGTCTGAAGCAATAAGAGAAACATACAAAATGTGCAGAGCGGGGGTACGCGAGGACTGGAATTGAGAACCGCTGTATTATACAACCTGCGTTTACTACAAGTCGGTTGCTCTTACAACTGACGTGTTTAATTCATGATGTTTTGTCACCACCTCTCGGTCATACGAGATATAACCGCGCTTAATAAAGCTCTGGGATAAAAACGCAGGAAGACTGAACATGAAATTAATTTAAACAAATGCTTTATGTTATCAGACGTCTTTGACATTCTATGGTGATTATCTGCTCTTTTAAACATTTCATAATCTCCTATTCCTCAAATACATCATAAACAACTTTACATTACACAGGAAAATAATGAACAGAATCTACCCATCTCAATTTGTGAAACAGTGGTTTCAGTGAACATGAGGAATCTTTTTCTTGTATGAATTGGCCACCACATATTCCTGAGCTTAACCCTACTGAAAGTCTTTAGGATGTGCTGGAGACAACTTTACTGAGTGGTTCGACGATCCCATTGTCAATACAAGAACTCAGCCAAAATGTAATGCTGCTCTTGTTGGAAATAAATGCTGTGATATTGCATGACATTGTCGAAACGATGCCACAATGAATGCACAATATAATCAAAGCTAAAGGCAGTCCAATTAAATATTACAGTAAGCAACTTTTATTTTTCTACAGGCAGTGTATAATGGCTAAACATTTGCTGTTATTTTACACTGCAGTTATTTTCTAGCCTTGATATAATAGGCCGTATGTATAATGCATTTAGTATGCATGACTTAATAAATAAATACATCTGTAGTTAAAGTCTCTATCAAACACCAGAATTACTTTGGCAATGAAGAAAATTATTTGAAAAATAGATAAATATATATGAATAATTTTACTATTTTCAGTTTATTCAGAAAGGCATCAACAGTGACATTGTTTATCTGACGATAAACAGTTTTTCACAGAAAATATGAATGCTACACACGTGCCTCAACTTACTGCTGTCTGGCAAGAAACCTGAACTGTTTGGTTGGCCATTAGATTACATCCTTATAATAAATTCAACAACATATCATATCTGAATGAATAACAGATCTGTAAATGGGCCAGTAAACAGACATAACTGCTCTGGTCACTTGACTAAGATTTAGATTTAGTGAAACAATGCAGCACTGGGAGTTTCCAGCGTGAGCTGCTGTGTATCCGCAGGTCCAGCCATTCCTGCTGAGCCACGGCCAAGTAGGACTCAGGTGGGGAGGAGGACAGCAGCTCAGGAGGGGTCACTGAGCTCTCAGCTTGTGTCAGGGCCTGCTGGAACGCTGCCTGTATGTCCATACTCTCCAGATTATTAAGACTCCCTGCTGCCTGATCCATGACCTGTGCACTGCTTGGACCTGAGGAAACACGGCACACAGGTATTAACATGAAGCTGATGATGTCTGTTCACACAAGATGAAAACTCATGTGACTCATGTTTTATTTTATATAACAATTTGTACACTACTTTATCTTGCTAAGACTTTTGTTATAGACACTTTGTCTCGAAGCATAAGTTAATCCTGGCTGACGGCAAATAACACATTTCTACAATGCTGTTGGTTACCGAAACGTTTGCTTTCGGGTTGATGCAACAATCATGCCATTAGGTGTCAGTATAAATCCAGCATTATATCAGCCAGGAAATAAATGGCAGAGTGAACCTTGAGGTAAAATGACTTACTAAATCTATAAATCAATGTTGTATATTTTACACTAGCTTAAACAGTCAAAAGTCTAAAAAGACTGAGGTCTATGGCAGATGTTCTCAACAAGGGGGCCACAGCAAATGTCCAAGCAGGCCACAGGATGACTTTTAGTATTTTAATTAATAATTTATTAAAACATTAAAATGATTTAACTCCAATCAAACTTAAAATTCTAAAAATAAACAATCAAGATGTAAATATTATAAATAAATGTTTTTTTTTTTTTTTTTGGCGATCTCTGATTAATAAAATGTTGTTTGTTAAAGGGGTCATGAATTGAGAAATCAATTTTTCCTTGATCTTTTGACACGTATGAGGTCATTGTACTGTAAAGACATCATTTAACCCTCTGGTATTGTTTGGTCATTTTAGACCAGAAAAAAAAAAATGTTTTGAAATTTAATCGTTACTTCATCGGAATGGTACGAAACTCGCTGACTTTTATGGCAGTCACTATGTGATCACAAAAAAAATTGTGGACTTGATTCGAAAAAGCTAAATGGTCGTAAAAAAAAAAAATAGTCACACTTGTGTTGTTCGCGGTCAAAAATGACAGACATTGGAAATGAATGGGAAATACGCAAAAATACGAAAATACAGAGAATTTCTTGTGTACAATCTACAAATCATTCACGATCCAGAAAAAAAGTGCACAGCAATGAAGGGGGTGACGATCTAAAATATCAAGAGTGCAAAACAGACACACTCGCCCCACCCACAGACACACATATATGAACTGGTGTGACTGTAACACAGCATGTTTTTGCAAATACTTGAAATAAAATCAATAATTTAGCCACAATGGAGTAAAAACATAGACACCAAGTAAGGGGTGACACTCTAAAACTTCAAGAGTACAAAACAGACACACACACTCACTTACACACACTCACAGACAAGACAACACACACACCACACTATTATAAACACACAAATGAACTGGTGTGGCTGTTACAATATGGCAAAATTGAGACAGAAGACTCAAATAATAGGTTGAAATCAGATTGAGTAAACTCTCATAAAGCATTTCTGTTCATATTTGTTACATTTTTGTTGAACTTTGATGTTATGTGTAATAAAATGTCTTTCGTTGTGTTCAGGTTTGACTGCAGTAAAATTAATACAAAAACTGACATTTCAAACCAACATTAAAAAAAAAAAAAAATTCTAAACCTTTAAAAAAAAGTGGTCTTTGAGAATGTCCAAATATAAATCCAAATCCACAATTAAAAAAATATATATTTATGTCTAAAAACAACTAGAGAATTTATAAGCTTTTCATATAGAGCTCTATAGGAATCTAATGGCTAAACCACGGAATTTCAGATATTTTTCTTTTTTTACTCCCACCAGATGGAACTAATCTTCCTTAAAAAAATGGATTTTAAAGGCATTGTATCTATTTTAACATGAAATACTGCCATAATTGAAGTTTCAAAAAATGTAGAAAATAAATTTTTGTATCATTTTCAATGGGAAAAATTGATCAATTATTGCATAAATATTAAATAGGACCATGAAATTCTCTCAAAATACAAAAGAAAAAAGATAAAATATTATTGACCAAAAATATATAACATTGATTTCACTAAAATAAAAAAATAAAAAAAGTTACATTTCAAGTGTGACTCCCAAATGAACAATACCAGAGGGTTAAGTTTCAGAGCTCAAAACTTCCTTGATAGTCTAAAAACAGCTTTTATTGAAACCAAGCTCAAATAAAAATCTAAATGACTCAGTTACAGCATTTCTATCTTCTTTTTAATGAGCTACAGCGATAGCTGGATGCCTTTGTCCATTTTAGGGATTTTCTGAAATGTTCCATTACATCTGTGAGGCATATTTGGAGTTTCCGCACGAGGGCGCCCTCGGGCTTCCAGTATGAATGAAACATACATTACATGACAGTACTCACTAATGCTCACACTGGTAAAAATAATAAAAATAATACTTCTTTCTGAAGCAAACACATGCAAGTCTATAAGTTTTTCTCCAATGTTTTACCACCTCAAGA